GGATAAAACAGAATGAATTCATGTTGCATGCATCTTAGACATACTTAAGAACATCGCATTTATCATTTTTAGCATACATAATTTTTTGCAGCTTTTTGAGTCAAGTTTCAACTTCAAGACAAAAGATACTCGATTAAAAAGAACATTCAAAAGTTGATGGTGGTTGCTTGATCTCACAGCGAAGGGGCGACTGTCGAATGATAAAACAAGTTTCCGAGTCTCGTTCAGAGCAATTTCAACTTCACAACGAAGGATATTGAACTCGAAGCTACACAATTTACTCGAGATTGGATTTCAACTTCACAACGAAGGATATCCAACTCAAAGCAGCATACAATACTTGGATTTCAACTTCACGATGAAGGATATTCAAGTTAAGGTTTAACTTCACAACGAAGGGGTCATCCACGATTTCAACTTCATGAAGAAGGATATCGTGTCCGATGAAGTGATTTAGCATCACAGCAAACGTGTCATCCACAGATTTGACTTCCTTAAGTCAACGATTAGAGCTTCTGAAAGGATTTCTTTAACATGCAGGAACAAGCAGATTATCGATCGCCTTTGAGATTGTTTCTCTCAAAACAAGGGGTCGTCTCGTTTGAGACTAATTTACTCAAAATGAAATCTTTGAATATGTTTTACATTAAACAAATTTTGTCTCTCTTGAGATGGTTTCTCTTGAAACAAATTTTGTCTCTCTTGAGACAGTTTTCCTTGAAACAAATTTTGTCTCTCTTGAGACAGTTTCTCTTGAAACAAATTTTGTCTCTCTTTAGACAGTTTTTCTTGAAACAAATTTTGTCTCTCTTGAGACAGTTTCCCTTGAAACAAAATCTTTGAATATGTTTTCCTTGAAACAAATTTCTCTCTCTTGAGACATTTTCTATTGGAACTAAGTTTTGTCTCTCTTGAGACGTTTCTCTTGAAACAAATTTTGTCTCTCTTGAGACAGTTTCCCTTGAAACAAAGTTTTGTCTCTCTTGAGACAGTTTCTCTTGAAACAAAAAAAAAACCTTTGAAATCATTTCTCTTGAAACACAAAAAAAACTTTGAAATTGTTTCTCTTGAAACATAAAAAAAAACCGTTTTCCGACAGCATAGTTTAAGTTGAGAAAAAATATCTGTCAACAAAAACCTTGGAGTTCGATTACACTCATCTCAAAGGCACATTATTTGTAGCATAGCTTAAGTCGAGAAGGTCTATATGCTAACCAAAAACCTTCGAGTTCGATTACATTCAACTTAGAGGTAAATCAAATTTATAGCATAGCTCAAGGCAAGAAGGGCTATCTGCCAACAAAATTGTCGAGTTCGATTCCATTCAGCTCGATGACACATCAATCGCACTACTTTCCTGTTGTAATCAAGGTTTTCAAGTTGAGAAGAGGACATGGGTTAGCCGTGCCTTAGTGACAAGCAACCGTTTTCAAGCAGCATAGCTTAAGTCAAGAAAAGCTATTTGTCAACGAAGATTTCTGAGATCGATTCCGATCCAAGGTCTTCAAACCGAGAAGAAGACCGAAGTTGACTACAATTTGGCAATAAGAAGCTACATTCAGATTCAAATTCCAAACTACTGCTTCAATTCTATATCATTTCAAGATGGACTCAACTTCGCAATGAGGAAGACATCTGCAACTCAAATTCGACATGGAGTTATTCCTAATTCAAATCAAATTTCAACTCCACCGAACGAAAATTCGTGTCTTTTTATCTTTGTCCTATTTTTTGTTCCATGAAAAAGGACAAAGAGGGCTAGCTGTAGACACTAATTTTCTGCTAGACCCTTACTATTATAATATTTATATTATATACATGTAATATTATTAATTTCATTTTTTTACATTGTCAGGCCCCAACAAACGTTACAAAACATGTGGCCCAACAGCCCGTTTGGCAGACCCAAACTACATGTGACCTGAGCAGCCCACACCACGCGAGCCCAATACCTTAATCAGACCAGCCAAATAGGGTTCCCAGAACCCTAGCGCTCCAAGCGGCGACGCATCACCCATGGTCGAGTCTTCCGTCGATTCTCTTGCCCCAGCAACAACCCGATCGTCTCCGCAATATCCGGCGCAAGAAAAGCATCACCAACGCCACACGAAACAACAGAAACAACCAAGGAGCATTAGAGTTCTAAACCGAATAGGACTCTAAAAATAGTTTATTTCTGTAACTATAAATAACATGCATACACAGTATGATTGACGGAGAGAGTTTACTCGATTTACACAAGTGTTACACACAAAACAATCCCAGAAAAATAAGCACGAAATATTTGCAATTTGTTTCGAAATGAAGAGCAATAAAAGAAGGTATTTTTCTTTTACCTTGATCGGCTGCCATCGTTTATTGTATGTGGCCTTTGTTTTTTTTTAATAAAAAATCGAAAAAGGGGAAGGTTTAAAAAAATATTAGATCTAGTTCCCCTCGAAGTTTTTTTGAATAAGCCAAATTGATTTTTAGAAAGAGGGGAGAAGATATATTGAAAAAATACATTTTTTTCAATGATCCACAGCCGATAAGCAGCGGCAGACGTCGATATACGGCAACCGGCGAGGCAGTGGCACCGGAATCTGGGTTGGCTGCGGTGGTTGTTCTTCATTTGAAGAACAACCTATGAACAATAGAGAGAATCTCTTTCTTTTCTATTTGATCGAGTGAGGGGAAAGAAGGAAAGTGATTTGGTGTTGTTGGATTTTGGGTTATATACAACCTGATTGGACCGACCCGCTCCGATTGCTAGACCCGCGTGTTTTTTAACAGGAAAAGGGGAAATTCAATTTTTGTCCTCCCGATTTTTCATGCTTTAATTTTGCCCCCTTTAAATCAATTTTAAACGAATTTCCTTTTAAATCCACCCCTTAATTTTTTTTCCCTTTTAATTTAATCATTCTTATTTTTTTATTTTATTTCCTATTATTTCTTATTTACACAATATTATATATATATATATATATATATTTATTTTTATCCATTTATTTATTTCTATTTTTTATATACATATTTTATTTATTTATTTTTTACTATTACTACTATTATTATTATTCCTATTATTCTTTCCTTTGTACTCTATTTATTTATATATATTTTATTATCTCCTAGCCCCTTTTTTGTCTTCATGTACTCTTTCTTTTTGACCAAAATTTTCCCTTTTTGTTTGTTTCGGTAAAGTAGTGGTTTAAATCAGTAGGTTAGATTTGGTTTTTATTTTTTTCTTCTCCTATTTGAATTTTTGAATTTATATGTTTAATTTTTTGCATGTTATACGCTTTAATTTATTCTCATTTGTCTTTTATTGTTTATGTTTTCTGAAATGCTTGACTTTACCTTCATTATCATTTTAAAATCCTTGTAGATATTTAGGGTCCCATTTAGTATTTGGTTTAAATGTTAGATATGTGATTTACTTTTATGTTTACCCTTTATTTATTTGCCTGAATATGTATGTTAATGGTGTAGATACATTTTCGTCTAGAATTTTATAATAGTTTTTGAAGGACTTTATTTATTATATTTTTTATTTATTTCTTATATTTTATTTCTTTGATTTATTATTATATTTTTTATATGTTTTATTTTCATTTATTATTATTAATTTTATCTAACATTTTATACTTTTTTAGAAGAATTCCAACCAATCAAAGGTGAGCAATTCGAATTGAATTTTTAATTTTTAATTTTAATTTTTAATTTTCGCAATTAAAGACAACCGATAAATTAATTAGTACCGAAAGGACGGTTCAAGGGTGGTAATCCTTCCTTGACCGTAACCGACTCCCGAACCCAACACGTTTATGGTAAAACGCAGATCAGGTAAGATGGTGTCCGACCCACCTAAATTCGTTTTAAAATGGTCGGTGGTGACTCTAACCTAACTATTCAAGTCGAAGCTCAATTTCGGGCCCAACCGAAAGACGGTTCCGACAATATTTTTTAAAAAGAAAGTCATTTCAACCCCTAAACTCACATCGACCATCTCATTTTACCGTCGACGAAGCTCCACCCAATCTCATCTCCCCTCGATGACCAAAACCCTTATGAAATCGTAACTGATAAACAGTCAATCGAAAACGACTCAACGTTTTATACCCCACGAACCCTAAGATAAAAATCGTAATCTCAAGCGATTTCGACAACCAATTAACGACAACTTATAACTAGGATGATGACAATGACTACATCGGATGCGATGATCGTGACCGAAAAGAGTGGCGACGGTATATTAGTGTTAGGATTTGGAGATTTTAAAGCTTTTGGGACTTTTTTGTAATTTAAAAGAAATAAGGTTTTTTATATATAAATATAATAATATTTTTAATATTTTTTAAAAAATAAAATTTCAAAATCACGGGAATGTGACATGTATCATTTAACGAAAAAAAAACTAACAGTCCATTATGGCTTAACCTATTTTGAGTAACGGAATGAACATTAAACACTAAACTGAAACGAAATAAACATTAAACACTAAACTGAAAAAATAGACATAGGTTGATTACCTTATATATATTTAAGCCATATATATATATATATATATATATACATACATACATATACTGAGACGAAAGAGTTGGGAGTGGACAAAACCTGTTTAAAACTTGAACAAAGAAGTAGTATAACAGATTTGATAGGAACATTGCGAACCTGAAGTATCGAAAGTGAGTGATGTCAGTTTACTGCTTAACCCTACAACTAAAATGGTTTAACAATTCAACTACACATAATAATTATTAAATTAGATCAATTCGGATACTTTGGAAATGTCATATAGCACATAGTACATGGTTCAAATTGCATATATCAACTAGAAATGCCTGATTATATCCTCTGAGCAGAATGTCTCGCGTAACATTATATTTCCTCCATCAACCCACACACACTCGGTAATCTCAGTCTTATAGTAGGGCGTATAGCGCATTCCCCTCCTGAATCTAGGAATCTTCCTGCAATGAGGACATGGTAAGAAAAATAAAATGGATCTAACTTGTGAACTGGAGGAAGAGAATCTATGCACAAGAAACAAACCCGTATCCATAAGGAGAATAAAAATAAGGCGGTACATGGGGTCTCCTAGGCCGGTAGCCAATATAAGGATTGAATTGTCTTGGACGGTACTGCTTCATCCCCAGAACATTAGTCCGTTTTGTTAAAACCTAAATATCACAAGGAATACCCAAAAATATGTTTCAGAATGGCTTTATTAGTAGCTACAGAAACCACAAAGCCTTTATACAGGACCAGCAGGCTCCATTTTTTCAGAAACAAAAGACCAAGTTTCTTAATATTAAAGAAAATATAGTACCTTCAACCGGCGGCCATGTAATTCAGATTCGTTCAGCACAAGAGCCTCTTGAACAGCCTCTGCTTCCAGGAACTCTACGTAAGCAAATCCTTTTGGTTGACCATACTTGTCTGTCAGAATAGTAACTCTGTTTACAGTGCCACAAGATTTGAAATGCTGTTGCACTTCCTCGGGTGTACATGCATAATCAACCTGCAGAATAAAATTCAACCCAAGTTTTCAAAGAGAAATTAGTTGGTCAGCAGTAACAAAGAAAAGCTACCACCATTGCTTGGTTATCATGTACTTGCACGGCTGCGGAGATTTTTCTTTTTTTTTGGGGGGTGGGGTGGATAAGGCATGCATACATGATTCTTTCTGTTAGCAAACACTCTTAACTAAACAGGCTGTTTACATGTCTCTTCAAGGTCTAGGAAATGTCACATTCAATTATCAAAGTCTATGAATCTTCTGGCACTCAAAAATTTCTCTTTCTTAGCAATGCCACCATCAATCATCAAACTCATTACTCAAACTTTTTGAAGCGCTAAAGCAAAAATGATTTCATGCTTCTACTAAATTCTAATCTGAAAGGTATAATAAACACCACAACGCAAAAAGCCCAAATTTGGCACTTTTCAAACTGCTGCTCAACAAATTTCCCCTGTGAAATATCAGAAGAGCAACAGCAACTTGAACATTTCACATCTTTTTATCATGTTGACCATAATTCAATACATAATACGCAGTACCTGCTACATATGCTAATTATTCAACATCTAACCTTGTATTTATTTATAACACGCAATTTTTTTTATTAATATTCAATAAAATTAAAGCGGTAAAAAAATGAAGTTGAGCGCTTCAAAATAAAAAGGGTGACTCAAATAAGAAATGTTGAAGGAAACATGATACTGAGGAACAGCAGACTGATTAAGACCTTTTATTGGGAAATAACAGCCAAAAGACAACCCACAGACTGATGAAACCATGTTTTTATCAAAAAGATAGAAGGTTGAGGGAGTTTTTCTTTAACTATAGAATACAATTTCTTGCGACTATGATCCCCCAGCTGAAGAAAAAAATCAAGAGTCAATTCTTAAAGGAAATCCAGAATAGTATCCATGCATCCAGTTCTTAAAAGAAAGGGCAGTTTTTAGCAGGATGCATTTACTCAAAAATAAGGGAAAAATCACAGAAACAACTAACGATGAGAGAAATAAGAACAAGGTTAATTACATAAACAACAGGCAACAAGAGATTAAGGCTACAAAGATGCAAACAAACGCCTCTCACCACATCAGCCAAAATGACCACAAATTTATCAGGTTCATACTCCAACGACCACCACGACCATCAGCAACAGTGTTCTTGCATCTTAGAGAGCATTTATTGACTTGACTTAGCTCGCCAAAACAAGCAAACTAAATCCCTTGCAAGAAGTTAAAGCATGTTAGGTAACACGCTACTTCCATCCATCCACTCCAAACAAAGCGAAGTTTTCTACATGATTGTTCAATTACAAATTTTCTACATGAATCACATAAAACTAGTCAAAGTTTCCACCATATCAATATTTTTCTCTTTTTTTCATATATATTTTTCTTCCAAATCTTCCTCTTTCTTTTTTTTTCTTCATTTTCTTTTCTTTTTTCCCATTCAACATGTTCTTCCATCACTTTCTTTTCCTTCTTTTCTCCATGAAATATTTGAGGAATTTCCCCCCTCATTTTCTCATTTTTCCCTCCTATTTCCATTTGTTTTTTGAAATTTAGCATACAGATACAACTTTTTGCTATCTTTAAGTACAATATTGTGTAAAGGAAAATTAGCTTTTGGCCAACCCTTGAAAACATTGTAACTGTTCCAGCAGTAATACAGAGGCAAGTTGAGGAAAATTAACAACCCTGCGATCATAGTAAGACATTAAGGTCAAACCATGATTCTATGTGGAGAAGTACCCACAACGAATCCAAAGTCACCAGAAATGAATATAAAATGCCATCTGAAGCCATTTAGTTATGCCCTAGAAGAAGCAAAGGTAGAGAAACGAAATACAGAAGTCTTGAATAACTATTAACATAGGTAACTAAAAAACATAAAAAAGAGAAAGATTAGAGACAATAATTTGTTGACTACAAGATAGCTCAGATTTAGACATTAACAGCCCACAGGAAAAGGGATAAAAAAAAGGTTAAACATGCAGGAAGAACAACCAAAGACTGAGAACTGAGTGGTGTATCCATTTCCAAATATTTTTTGAGGTTCAACCTAAAGAGGAATGCCTTTCAAAGAAAATGCTTGGACATCAGCTCAAGCGTGGATTTTTTTTTTCTACTCAGATCGTTTGGGTGTCTTGCTGATCTGGGAGTTTTAGTAGTTCCACATCCTCCCTAAGCCCTTGGAATTTATCCCCATAAGCTAAAGGTGACAATTTCAAAACAAAAACAAAAGGTGCTAATTGATGGAAAATCTCATGCAGACCAACCCTGTACTTATGTCTTGAGTTCTTTTATAAGTTCAGGGACATGTTCATACTGTACAAAGGAATCCCATGGTATAATTCAGGGAAAAAATGTACTAAATGTCAACAGGAGGACTGTAAGACGGGAAACATAATATGACAAGGTTAACATACCATCACATAAACGACTGTTGAAATGTTAATCCACATGATACAAAGATCAATAAATCAGAAAGCATACAAGATAGTAAAACCACCCTCTTTTTCTTTTTAAGAAATGTCCAAGCAGTTTAAGAAGGTTCACCATATAGATTTTATATCTACAAAGATATTTTAAAAAAATACATTATTTATCTCACATTGCCAACAAAAACAGATCGTGAATCAGCTTCCTCTTTGCTCTCCTGATTAGCTGCAGCACTTGCAGGATCTGTGATAAAAAGTGTTTTTTTTAGAATAAATGTTTAGGTTGAAATTAGAAAAATGGTTCAAAAATCTAAACACGATCAGCACCTTGAAATATAGATAAAATTAACAAATATCCAGGCTATAACTCCCTGCTAGAATTCTCTAGTAAAATCAATAAACTACTAATACAGTAGAATCACTTTCTAAAAATTGAAATAATTGTCAGTTCAAAAATTAACTTTGAAGTTTCAGATTTGATGGAATTATCAAACTAAATAATAAAAATCCAGAGAACAAATTCATAAACCCTAACATTATAATTTTAATATTTTACACTAAAATTCAGATCATATAAATATCCACAAACAAAATACGAAAAATAAAAAGTTCTAAAAACCTTGAACAGCACCTGTAGACATCATTTTTTTCATTTAAATTTGTTATTATTATTAAATATTATTATTATTATTATTATTATTAAATATTATTATTATATTATTATTATTATTAAATAATTATTACAAACCCAAATAATCAGGCCCATTTTACAAGCCCAAACCCTAAACCCAATTAGGGTTTTCATCATCCCAGAAGGCCAGCCGCCGTCAACATCATCAGCCGTTGGATCTGGCAAGATCCAACGGCCCAAAAGGGTTCCAGATTGAAAACCCTAGGGTTTCTAACCCTAGCAGCCAGCCGTTTCCAGATGCTTCCAGCCGCCTCTGATGATTCCAGGTGGTCCAACAGCTGTTGCCGACACTCCAGAACGTCACGAAGCCAACCACGTCGAGCCTTATGGTGAGTCACCACCATAGCTATGGTGACTCACCGGGCCTTTCGTCCTTTGGACCGGTCTGAAGCCATCACCAGTGGTGGCTATAAAAGCCACCGTCCCCTGCAAGAAAAAAGAAAAAAAACGGAGGAGAGAGGAGATACACAGAGACGAGCAATAGAAACGAGCAACAGAGACGAACCCACAACCAGTAGTAAATCAAAATAGAAACGAAGAGAAGAAGATGAACTTACCCTTGAAGCCTCGCTCATTGCCGGAAATACCGAGCGTCACCGGAGTCTCATTTTTCGAAGGTAAAAAATTTAGATCTACGTCGATCTAAAGAGATTTAAGGAAAAAGGAGACTAGAATCGTCATTAGGGAGTTCAGATCTATCTTCTGGGGGTTTTGTAAATTTCCGGCCACCATTGACGGTGGCCGGCGGTGGTGATCGGCACTGGAGTACGGTGGCCTATGGCTACCGGTTTCCCTCCGGCGAGGGAACCTAGAGAGAAGCCAGAGAAATGCTTCTCTCTGTTTTAGAGAGAAGCTGAGAAAGAAGCAAATGAGGAAGCCTGGCCCTTCGGGCCAGGCGTTTAGGGTATTTAAAACCCTTCCCAAACGACGTCGTTTTGGGGAGGGTATCTGTGTAATTTAAGAAAGGGTAAACCCTTTCCGCAACCCTTATAGTTCTGTAACTTTGCAATTCAGTCACTGAAATTGACTTTTAATCATTTTAATTTAGTGTTTAAATTTTATTTTATTATATTTTAACCATTAACTGTATTTATAAATCTTTAGGATAAATAATAAATTTAGTCCCTTAGGTTTTAATAATTATTACTTTAGTCATTAAATTAATAAATGAGTAAAATAGCATGTTTAGCCACTGCAATATTAAATAATTAATTACGAATTAGAGTATTTAATTTCAATATGTTATAATTTAGTCACTAATTTTAATATTTTTATTTAATTACAAGTTTATTACTTTTTATATTTAGTTTTAATTTTATTTTAATTATTGTTTAAATATATTTTAATTTATATAATATTTTAATTAGTATTATTATTATTTTTAATATATATTATTTGATTAATTTTATAAATTAATAATTTTTATTTGTTTTTAATATCGAAGAAAAGGACAGTCTTGATATAACTGGATGTCCTATTCTGGTATTTTAAATAATTAAATATTATAATTTAATTTTTTCTTAAATTATTTTACTTTTAAATTTTTACATTTTTAGTTATTTATTTTTCAATGTCAAAGAAAAGAACTGTCTTAAGGTACCTAGAAGTTCTTTTCTGATATTTCTAAATAAGTAAATATCTTATTTATATATTAAATTATTTAAAATAAAAGGATTATGAATTAAATATATTTTTTAATTTCCAATAATAGAGACAATTTATAATTAAAAAGTACCAATTTTGGGCGTTGTAGGGGTGCTAATCCTTCCCTAAACGTAACCGACCACGAATCCCTTTTTATTATTAAAAAGAACGAATTTTTGGTTATAAACGCATATCAGTTCATCTTTTAACTGATGTTTTCTTAAAAACTCTTTTAAAAGATAATTTTTAGGTATTCGACCTACCTGACCCAAAAGGCCGATGGCGACTCCCAAATTATTTTAAAAAACCATTTATTCACATCACTTTTCCCGCCAAGTAAATATTTCGTGCCCGGACGAAAACCGGTTACGACAGCTTGGCGACTCCGCTGGGGAACTGGTCAAACTTTAAAATCAATTATAAATTGTCTCTATTAATTAAAAATTAAAAGTTCATATATTTAATTTTTAATTCTTTCTTTTCAAAATTTTTATATTTACTTATTATTTTCATAATATTTATATGTTTCATTTTACTTGTAAGTATTTTATTTCGTTATTTATTTTTCTGTCAAAGGTTTGAACATTTCTCCTCACACACAACACTTGCATTGCATAACATAAAGCTCTATAATTGAGTTTGTCCCTTTTAAGTGGGAGTGAAAGCGACGTCTTCGTGAGAATTTATTCTCCGTGTCAGACCTAGCAAGTAACTTTCGGGGTTTATATGCTCTATGTCTTCGTCAGAATTTATTCTCCGTGTTAGTCATAGAGAAATGTATCCCCTCGAATTGAACTCGATCCGTTTAAGTCTGTAATGGACTAGGATTGAGGGTTGACAGCCCAAGGGGGCATCAACAAGGACAATTCGAGTACCTTTACTCCTAGAACTGAAACTCTGCATATAATAAACCCTAGAAATTCACCTAATCTAAGACAATACTGAACCTTTGTTCATAGGTGTACACAAAGGAGAAATAAGCTCTAGCTTTTAATTTATTTAATTTATTATTATTTTTTCTCCCTGAATAAATGCATGCGAACTAGAAATCATGCGGTTAGGTTAATTTTTCCAAACAAAGCATGGAACTAGAAAGCATGAGGTTAAGATTTATTATATACCATGATAAATAAATTTTTTTTTCAATTAGTTGGTATTAACCATTTTATTTTTTCTTATTTTCCCATGTATGTTATTTTTGCTCTAATTTGTTTAAATTATTTTCTGTTGTTTGCATTGCATGATCATGACCAAAAGGTGTTAACTGAAAAGACTATTCATCAAATTATAAAGAAATCATAAATGGACAAAAAGTTCTATGATCAAACAAAATATGATGTGGCCAAGAAAAGACATCCTGAGGGAACTCTGAAGATAGAGAAGAGCTATGCACCCAAAGATTGTATGCCCATTGAAGAGCAAAAGGAGATACGAGAAATAAGAGAGCAGATGTCCAAAATGATGGATAGAATATCTGTTTTGGCCAAAAGAGAAGAGATTCCTGCACAGAAAGAGAGAAAGCTTAATGAAGATAATCCTGCAATTTCATATATGCAAGGGACTTCGGATCTTAACCAATTGGAGAAATTACAGACAGTCGTCATTCGTATTTACCAATCGTCTGGAGATACCAAAGAAATGGTGACAACTGTACAAGCTCCCAGAGAAGAGAAGAAATCATGCAATCTGAAATCATCGAAGTTTAGTATGCTCCCGATATCTAAAACTCAGGTTCAATTCAAGACAAAAGGCGGTTCTCATATTGATGCTATACCTATATCATACAAAGATTTGTATGAAAAGTTACTTGAAGAACGAGAAATAGCTCCATATTACATAAAACCATTCCAACCTCCGTATCCAAATTGGTATGACATCAACGTTCATTGTGAATATCATGTCGGAGCTCAAGGACATACCATCGAGAATTGTCTTGCCTTCAAACGCCGAGTCCAAAGTCTTTTGGATCATGGAACCTTACAATTTATGGTAAATGATCGACTTAGTCTGGTAACCAAGGGTCCTGATAGATTAATACCAAAAGTCTTCAAAGGTAAAAATATCAGTAGGGGCGCCCAGAGAGAAGAAGATTTGCTGAGGTTTGAAGCTCAAATACGTCATTTGAAGATTGAAAACGATAAATTGAGCACCAAAATGGAAACCATACATGAAGACTTCCAGAAGGTCAGTCAAGCCTTTCAAAATGCTGGTATAGGAAACACCCCAGAAGAGTGGATAGCAGGGGTCACCAAACTGAAAAAGAGTTGCAACATACATGAAGATCTTGTCAAAAAAACTTTTTGAACACAAATGTTCTCTCACAAAGGAAAATGATCAACTCCAAGAATTGACATAGGAGATGAAAGAACACCAGAATGTCATGGAAGAAGCTGCAGTCCAGACAAGTAATATGGCCCATAAGCTGATAAACTAACTTGGTTTTAGGGAAGAAAATGGGAAAGTTATTCCCTATATGTAAAGTTTTGTTGAAGTTAGGACTGAAAGTTGTCCCCTACATGTAAAAGTTTTGTTTGATGTACTGAAGCTTTTGTGTTCAATGAAATCTGTTCTAAGATGATCACTCTTAAGTAACACCTTTTCATACATGCATTTACATTTTGTATTTGTGCATTTTCATTTTGTATTTTTACTTTTTATATCTTTGAATTGCACATTTTTGCATTCTTATTTTTCCATCTATGCATTTTTCACATTTTTATTTAAGTACTGTCATGTATTTTAATTATAAAAACATGTTAATAATTAATGAAAGGTTTTGTAACAGTAAAACCAAGGTCATTCATTCATATTACTTTACTGTCATCATGAAAACAATGGAGCAATCTTATAAGGGACTACAAGACCAGTGGCCAGAACAATTGACAGGGTTACCTCCGGATATAAGGAAAGAAACATCAGATTCAGTACCAGATGGATCAAATCAAATTATTCAGTATGTGACATCTGATAAAGAAGAGATAATTGATAAAGAGCAACCATGCTGTCAGATTGAAGAGTCGAAAATGGTAAAACCCTCCCAATTGAACCCAAAGAATAGCCTTGTTCATTATTCGCAATATGAAGAAAGATTCAAGAAGATGGATGAAGTAATCAAAAATATGAAATGTGTTGATACTTCCCACAAAGAATTAGAAGCAAGAGAGCTTAGCTTGGTTCCAGATTTGATTATTCCCCATGAATTCAAAATGCCTGATTTTGAGAAATATGATGGCACAAGTTGTCCCCTAATCCACCTGAGAATGTTTTGCAGAAAAATGGGAGGATATTTAAATTCCGATGACCTGTTAATTCACTCTTTCCATGATAGTCTTGTTAACCCAGCAGTAGTCTGGTACAATCAGTTGACCCAAGAACAGATCAAGAAATGGGTAGATTTAGCTGATGCATTTTTGGGACAATATCGGTATGTTAAAGGCTTAGCTCCAACACGTATGGATCTTCGAAGAGTAAAAAGGAAAACCAATGAAAGATTTCAAGAATATGCCTTAAGATGGAGAAGAGTGGCAGCACAAGTTCAACCTCCCATGTTAGAAGAAGAGATATCACGTATGTTTCGTGATTCCCTTCCAGCGCCTTTCTTCGAGTTAATGCAGGCAAATCCGACAAAGGAATTCGAGAATCTTGTGACAAGTGGAGATTTAATTGAGAATGTAATCAATGAAGAAAACTCAAAAGTCACATCCAAGAGCCCAACGGATCAAAAAGCGAAAGCTGATGATGTGAATGTATGTCGCATCCAGAATCCCCGCAACTGCAAAAGAAAAAGAGAAAGTAACTGTTCGGATCGACCAAAGAAAGTTATGCGATCAAGAAAAACTTTAGAAGTGTTCCAAACTTCTATTTCAGACTTATACCCTCATTTGGTTAAAGGTCAGTACATCACACCAAGACCAATTAAAGTGACATCAAACCCTTCTGCTCATAGCTATGATCAACATAATGTTTGTAATTTCCACTTAGGGGTAAAGGGGCATTCTACAGGCAATTGTAGGCCACTGTTAAAAGAAATTGAGATGCTTGTTGACAAAGGAGTTTTGACACAAGAAATGATCAATAAATGGGGGGCAAATGAAGAAAAGAACCTTGATCTTATTACATACCCAACATTATAGGAATAATGAGGCATGATGCATAAACAAGTGGAAGTGTTATCTACCACTGTAGTACCTTTCTATTTTCAGCATCTTGTTTGAACTTGTTTTTTGTTCCTTTCTCCGCTTTTTGTGCAATAAATAAATGTGTGTTGCTTATTAAGGTTATGAGCAAGGAATCAAGTTTTAATCTTGAGATTATTGAGTATCAAGTAGATTAAATATTATTTTAATTTATCAAGAGTTATAGATCTATTGGCAAGTGATAAAATTATACCTTCCATCCAACACCAATTACTCGACCCTTACCAAAACCAAATCCTGACATTGCATTTATCTGAGACTCTGAAGTAATGTCTCTACCTGTTTTTACACCTACTCCAGATGTTTACCTTTTCGGGTATAGTTGATTGATGATACTACATTCCACCATATACGACTTCAAAAGTCACATATTGGTCCTTCCAAACACAAAACTATCATAAACCAAAAGACCTCAAAAGAACCAAACTTTCAATTATCCGTGAATCTTACTACAAAAAGAGACGAGATGAGGCATCATGGACCAACTCATTGATGATAATTTCGAATGATTAGGGTATACTCAAAGAAGAAGGGGAAAGTGATTGATTGAAATAAATATATCATGCATTAATTACATTTTTTTCATGTAAATAAAGTTAATCTTGAATATTCATCCCCCTGTGGATACCTCTTTTTACAAAGGTTTCTGTGTATGAGATGATGAACGGCATTGTTTCATTTATCCTTTAATATATATATATATATATATATATATATCCTTTGTTGTCCCCATTTGAGCCTGAATAATTTTTCTTCTAATTCAACCCTAACCAAGGATCACCCTCTACATTGGGGGGCAAGGTAAAGGATATTGGCTCACAAGAATAAAGATTGTCAATACAGTTTTATTACGAAGACAAGTTTCCATGAAGTCATGAAAGTTTTGAACTACAAAGTATGTCAAATACAGAGTGCTTGAAGATCAATCCAATCAAGAATAATGGAGAACCTCCAAAATGCAAAAGGAAAAGGAGGTGCTCAAAGCAATTGAAGTATTATACTCATCCAGCAAAGAAATAAGAAAAAAAAAAGGAAAATTGAATCAAGATGGGTGATTTATTGAGCCTCAAGTTACAAGGTTGATCAAGTACAAACAAAAAGAGCAAGAAATGCTGAAGATATGAGAAAATGGAAATGAATCCAAAATTTGGCAGTCTTGAGGGATCCAGTTGATGGAAAATTCCCCAGCAAGGCAGATCCAAGTCAAACAAAACAAGATTGATGGCATCAGAATGAATTGATCCTTGGTTTGATTACCCTTAAACACTTATTTTGGGCCTTTTTATCCTTTTCTTTCATAACCATAAGCCATGGCCTACGTTACGTACCTGAAAAGTCCATTTTAATCATACATGGATTTCTAAGTAAAAGAGAATATCTTCAGAATTCATTCCGCCTCTCAAGATTGATTTTTATTTGCAAAAATTGGTTTTTAAAATCTTTAATGCA